CCGTTGACATTTGCGATACAGAGGGCTTCATCAACTAACTTTGAGTGGAGCCAGAAGTTGGAGTACCAAATCATCTGAGTACCTCACTGAGAAAGTTATGTGCACCCCTGTCTATAACTCTTCAACCTTCAGTAAAGACAACTGAGAACTTCCACACCAAAACACTCGCTGCTATAGAACATGTGCAATATCATTATTATTAATAATGTTCTATAATAACGTGAAATTACGTATCTGCCACTACTTTTTTTTGCACTACTAAAAATACTGTTAATATGTACTTCATTATGTGACCGTCTGTGTTTCCTGTAGATGTTGAATTGCTCTTATTACTGCACTGTTAGTGTACAGCTTTATTACGCTGTGTATACTGTATTTTTGTAACTCTGGCACAAACAATTTCCTTCAGGATAAATACAGTCTTATCTTATCTTACACCAATAAAGTTTATTGTTATTATTATTATTTCATCATGCTACGTACCTCCAGCCGCAGTCGGGCCAGCTGCACGTGTACGGCTTCTCTCCCGTATGCCGGCGGAAGTGAGCCTTCAGATGGCTGCTCTTGGTGTACATCTTCCCGCAGCCTGGGTGGGAGCACTTGTGGACCCTCTCTGTGGGCGGCAGTCTGCTCACCCGGGGGGTCATGGCCTTCAACAGCTCAGTCCCCTGACCCCCGACCCCCGTCAGGCCCTTGATCTCTAGAGTCCTCATAGTGAAGGGCAGGGGGGCGATCCTCACGTACTTCTGGTCAGCTGACTTGTTGTCTCCGCTGTTTAGAGACAACAAGGTGGTGGTGGGGTTCAGCAGGGTGACATTTTGTCCTCTTGCACCCTGGAGGCCCATGACCAGATGAGTGAGCCAGATGCCACTTTGGGCCCCTGGAGGAGAGCCGGCGGGGGTTGGAGATAGGGGCTGTAGCTGCAGAACCAACGGAGCACCAAGGAGCATTTGGGAGGAAGGTGAGGGGTTACGTTGAGCAGAAGGGGAGTGGTCTTCTGCGCTGATTTCCTCCTTTTTAAGGAAACTTGAAGTGCAATGAGAAGCAACCTTCCCTTGATCACGGCAAGTGTCTGAGGAGGCTTCGGGGGTCAAAGTGGAGGATGGAGAGTCACTGCATGGCAGAGGGGACGCTTCTTCTTTTGGAATAAGAAGAAGACCCTCGTCTTTTTGGACAAAAAGACCCTCTTTGACAAGTTCCATCTTTTCCCTCAAGAACTCCTCGATGTCTTCCAGCGTGGGAGAAAACGGGGAAGAGGGATGGAAAGGGAAATCTGGCAGCTTAGGCTCGTGACTCGCAGGTTTCTCCTCATCGCCATCCTCCGCTCCTAGGCAAGGCAAGGCACGTTTATTTATACAGCAGCTTTCAACACAAAGCCATTCAAAGTGCTTTACAAAAAATGAAAGACATTAAGAAACATATTATAAAATGGCATTTAAAAACATTCATCAAGACATTAAAATATGAATAACAAAGTTAAAGTTACAGTACAGTGTGCAGTGTTTCTCCTAGGATGGAGTCATAGCAGCGGTGCTAAGGCACGTGGGCCCAGCATAATGTGATCGCGGAGCGCGTGGAATTTTTTTGTGTGTGCGAAGTGCGCCCCGCCAATTTGTTTCTATGTGTCAGCACAAGAAAGGCTCTTGAGGCCTAGTACCAGGGCCGGTTCTAGACAATTTGCTGCCCTAGGTGAGATTTTAGGCGACATTTTATGTGTAAAGAATAAATGAAAAATCTCTACAAAAGACAATTACACTGCAAAAACAGAAACTTATTGACATAGGTAATAGACGTCAAATGGCTTCAAATGTATTCAGTATTGTATGAACATGTTTGAATTGGGGGGTGGACGTCACATCCTCTAGGGGGGTCCGGGGAAGAATTTTTTTTGAACATTTTCTTTGAACATTTTACAGTAAAATGCTTTAATCTGGTGCACTTTGAGCACACAATTACTAGAGACCAAGGGCCGTATTCACAAAGCATTTTGTCTTACCGCTAGGAGTGTTCCTAACTCGCGCT